CTACTTTCGGCTGCGTAGACCTCGTCCATTTTTCTTTTTGCAATTCTAGCCTTTTTGCATTCCGAAGTTTCTAATCCAGACACCCGACGTGTACGCGAGTTTCACGACTCAATGGAGCATCTGGACGGCTGCGGAGATATACTGGGTGGGCCTCGTGAATCGGGTCGCGTAAATGAAGGGTCATTCAGATACAATAGAACTCCATTTACGGTGTGACTTGGGGCAAAATTTTGTCCGGATGTAGGATATAACACATATAGATTAACGAATAAAATTTTATTCGTATTAATATCCAATCGAATACAAATTTATCTGGATAACAATTTATACGATTAAGACTTTATTCGAATAAACAATCGTTTGAATAAGAAGTTATTTGTCATTCGAACAAGATTTTATTTGTAAAGGAATTACTTCGGAAATTAATCGAACTTTTTCATAGTTTATTGATTCGTTTTTCTTCCCTGTTACAATTAACTCTTTTTTTCCACTGTTGTATCGGAAAGTTTGTTATTTTTGAGTAGATTCGAATCGTAAGGCAAAGGGTTAAGAAAAAACACGTAGACACGTGGCTTGGCCCACATATATAACAGCTTTTTCACATGTCCACACATGTATACCTAAAATATTTATAAGATTACATTCTCGAGATCCAAGCTCTATATTAAGTGCGCCGGAACGTTCTGTCCAATTCCATGAATCGTGTTCGATAGAAATTGCGTTTTTTATTTCTGTACCTGCAATTTTAGCTTTTTTTATCGTTCACAAACTACTATTACATTTTTTCTAAGTATTTTACGATATAAAATGTGTCCACATTGTTCACCTTTCGGTGTTCCAATTCGGTAATTGGTATCGAAAAGATGTTTAATTGTGATCACTTGTTATCGCAGCTAGGAATACAAAGGAAAAGACGAAATTGAATAGTCTCGTTGTTTTATTCTGTATGATACATTTTATTTTGAGTAATGTCGTCGTACAATTTTGAGTCTTGCTGCAGCTTACTGAAAGCATGCAGATATAAAACCTTTTGCTATATTCTGATTTCCCAACGTTTTATTTGAGATCTGTTAAGCAATGACAGAAACTAAATATGTATATACCCCAGTACATATTATTATTTACTCATTTGTTATAGAAATAATTGTATACAATTATTTGATTATAACCGCACGTTACATTATAACATGTTATTATGTTTCATCCATCGTTGTCCAATTTGAGAAATCTACACCGACGCGACTCGTTATGTTTTTAGATTTCATGAGATCGGTTTGAAGAAAAAAACACAGTTACGTTACAACGTGTCATTATGTCTCATGCACGGTTGTTCACTTTAACTTACATACACGGTGTTCTTTTTAATCTTCTTGATCCGAGACTTTCGTGTCTTTGTAAAAATAGCTTATTTTCGTTAGAATTGGTGCTGTTAATGCACTCGAATCCATATTCGAATAATTATATTACTTGACACGTGAAAGTGTTTTGTCAATCGTAAACGAAATCCATGTTTCAGTTTGTCTTAACAAGAAAAAAAAAACGTGTGATTATACTTTAAGTATTACTCTACTGTGTGGCGTAATTAGGTTTTGTCCCAATTCTTTAATTTTAAAAATAAATAAATTTTCAAGTATATCCAAAAATTTTAGTAGGTTAAAGACATTTCGCTCTGTTTACTTAAATAACGTTTAAACATATTCAAATATATTTGTGATTCCTACAAAGGAATAAAGTTTGTGATTCCTATTGAAATTAGGTCAGTTCACAGAATACTTTAACGCAAAAGAGGTATAGTTTTTACTAAGGTAGAAAATACTCTACAA